ACACATGAAACAATGTTCAATATCGCTAGCTATCAGAGAGATGCAAATTAAAACCACAATGAGATACCACCTCACACCAGTCAGAATGGCCATCATAAACAAAGCAACAAACAACAAGTGTTGGAGAGGTTGTGGAGGAAAGGGGTCCCTAGTGCACTGTTGGTGGGACTGCAGACTGGTACAACCACTATGGAAAGCAGTATGGAACTTCCTCAGAAAACTAAAAATGGATCTGCCTTTTGACCCAGCGATTCCACTGCTGGGACTCTATCCTAAGAATACTAAAACACCAATCCAAAAGAACCTATGCATCCCAATGTTTATAGCAGCACAATTTACAATACCTAGATGCTGGAAGCAACCAAGATGCCCATCAGTAAATGAATGGATCAAAATACTATGGTACATTTACACAATGGAATTCTATGCAGCAGAAAGAAAGAAGGAGCTCCTACCCTTTGCAACAGCATGGATGAAGCTGGAAAGCATTATGCTAAGCGAAACAAGCCAGGCAGTGAAAGATAAATACCATGTGATCTCACCTTTAACAGGAACCTAAACAACAAAACAAAGAAACAAGCAAAATATAACCAAAGACACTGAAATAGAGGACAGGCTGACAGTGACCACGGGGGAGAGAAGAGGGAATTTCAGGGGACAATGGGAAGGGTTTATGGGAACAAATCTAAAGGACACATGGACAAAAACTAGGGAGAGGGTGGTAATGGGAGGGAAGTGGGGAGGGTTGGGACGGTGGGCTGGACTGGGAGTCAAAGGGAGAAAACTGTACTTGAACAATGATTAAAATAAAATTAAGAAAAAAGAATTTTGCCAACAACAGTAAATAGTATACCCTATGCTAAAAGCAGTCAGAAGAATATACAGTGTTATTGAATAAACTGATTATATACAATTTTTGATGCTTTTGAAAATAATTGGAACTGGTCAATAAGAGGGTGAAAGAAAATTTAGTAAGAACTACTTAAGCTAATGTATGAGAAGATATGTTGGCTCAAAAATCTATTACAAGAAAAAGGCTACCTGCCTGTACAATTTTTTGACCTTCCAATTCTCTTCTTGAGTACATATGTAGTACTATAGACAGAATTAACTCCTGCTGTGGTAACCAGCCTTGAGATGATACCCTAAAGTTCTGCATCTTCCAGTATTCATTTCTTTGTTTAGTCCCCTCCCTTAGTGAATCAGGGCCAGCCCTGTGTGACCAATAGAATCCAGTAGAAGTGATGTTGTGTGACTTCTGAGACTACACCATAAAAATCCCTGCAGCTTCTCTCTTGGCCTCCTGGAACACTCATTTTTGAAGCCCTTAGCACAGTATGTGAAGTCCTACTACCCTAAGACCACCTTTATGCAGAGATCACATGGAGAGGTCCTGAGATTTCATATAGAATCATTTCTGGCCAATTCCCCAACCATTTGAGTCATCCCAGCTGAGGCTCTGGATACAGCATGGAACAGAGTTGTCCCCACTGAGCTCTGCCAAAATTGCAGATTCATGAGCAAAGTAAATAATCATCATTTTAAACCATTAAGTTTCTTTTTTTTATTGCTGTTCAATTACAGTTGTCTCGATATTTCCCCCCATTGCTCTCCCCTGTCCCGCCCACACTCCCTCCCTCGGTCAATCCCCATCCTCTTGTCCACTACCACCAGTCCTTTATACATGTTTCTTGACCCTTTCCCCTCTCTTCCCTGTTATCCCTTCCCCCTCCCCTCTGGTCACTGTCCATGTGTTCCTTGTAAGCCATTAAGCTTCAAGTGATTTGTTATGCAGCAATACATAATGGAAATGCTCCTCCCTTCTCTTTTTCTTCACTTATAAAGTGTTTCCTTAGGTGAGTGCAAGTGAGCAAGTATGTGTCAGGTCAACTCAAGAATAGGGATTTTTTTCCATCTGTTGTTGCTGAGAAATTGACTTATTCATTCTGTGTAGACATACCTCTTCAGCACTTCCTTCTAAGAAGTAACTTTGTCACTTTTGTGGTCAAGAGACACAAGGGGACCCAGTCCATCTCCGGGATTTGTGGCCAGGTGCACACCCACAATGGAACTGTTTAATATACACAAATATATCTATCAAGCTGAACATAAGGGGCAGCTTTGTATAGAAAAAAAGTCACAAAAGTATCAGCAGCAAGAGAGGTAGGTATAGGCAGAAGGAGCAACCAATATCTGTCTGGACTCTGCAGAGTTAGAGTTGTCAACACACATTCCGTTTTCAGGACCTTCTCCCCACCTGTGTTTGTAATACGGAACTCATCCCTGCAGCTAAATGGGTGTACACTTGATCGATGGGCGGCTATTCTATTATTGATTAGCCAGGAATTTATCTGGTTATCTCCCTTGAAAATATGAGCTAGAATATAAAGAGATTGTAGCATGCACCTGGACAGGCAGACCATAAGGAATCAGGGTAGCATGACTATTAGCCATGTATATGCCAATGAGTACATAAAGAGAGCTGATTGGCAGGAAAAAAAAGTGCTGGTGAGAATCAATTAAGGAGAAGGAAGGAAGGAAGGAAGGAAGGAAGGAAGGAAGGAAGGAAGGAAGGAAGGAAGGAAGGAAGGAAGGAAGGAAGGAAGGAAGGAGAAAAGAAAGCAAGAAGAAAAGAAAGGAAAGGAAAGAAAGGAAGGAGGGACGGAAGAAGGGAGGAGGGAGGGAGGGGGAGGAAATAACGAGCATGAGAGAGCTCTAGCACTATCTCTGTTCATTGGCTTTCTACTTCCCAGTTTTTAATACTTAATTTAATTTAATTTTTCTTTGCTTTATTTTTTGGTCAGGCAGGGGTGATGGTGGGATGGCATTTAACAGAAAAAGGACTTTATATTCACTTTTGTTTGAGGGTCCCTGGGGAGATCACTGTTAGAACCTCCCAGTCCTCCACTGTACTACTACATGTTGGTCACAATTTTAATATTCTATGAATATAAAATAGTATCTAAGGATATTAACCAAAACATCCTCACATAGACCTTTCATCTCACTTGGAAGGAGAAAAAGTATGCACCAGGTAAAGACCCTATTGCTAAGAACTGCAACTTAGATTTGCAGTAATTTCTAATACTTAAACACATGCACTTTTCTTCCTGATTGTGCAAAAAAGGACAGGAAGTGAAAAAGGGAACATTCTTAATGCTCAAGTTAAGTCAGAAGTTCATATAAGATATACACTAGATGTGAATAAGTGTGGGAGAGTAAAATGATCATCAAATTGGAACCTGAACTGATTTGCATTTGATATCTGACCACGATGTCAAAATACTGTGTTCAGAGAGTTAAACCAACTCACCTTTTCTATTACATAAGCAATACATGTATATTATAGTAAATTCAGTCCAAGTATAACTAATATTAATAGTTAGTGTATATATTTCTATGTCCATACTACTCAGAGAGTTAAACCAACTCACCTTTTCTATTACATAAGCAATACATGTATATTATAGTAAATTCAGTCCAAGTATAACTAATATTAATAGTGTATATATTTCTATGTCCATACTACCCAAAGCAATCTATAGATTCAACACAATCCCTGTCAAAATACCAGTGACATATTTCACCAATATAGAACAAATATTTCAAAAACTTATATGGAACCATAAATGACCCCAAATAGCCTCAGAAAGTTTGAGAAAGAACAAAGTAGGAGGGATCACAATGCTTCATATCAAACTACATTACAAGTCCACTGTAATCAAAACAGCCTGGTACTGGCATAAGAACAGACACAGACCAATGGAGCAGAATAAAGAGCCCAGCAATAAACCCATGTCAATGCAGTCAGTTAACATTTGACAAAGGGGGCAGGAGCATAAAATGGAGTAAAAGTACCCTCTTCAACAAATGGTGTTGGGAGATCTGGACAAGTACATGCAAAAAAAAAATGAAACTCAACCACCAACTTACACCATCCACAAAAATAAACTTAAGATGGATAAAAGACTTAAATATAAGTCATGACACCATAAAAGTCCTAGAGGAAAACATAGGCAGGAAAATTTCAGATATCCCATGCAGCAATATTTTCACCAATACATCCCATAGGGCAAGGAATATAGAAGAATAAACAAGTGGGACTACATCAAACTAAAATGCTTCTTCACAGCTAAAGAAAGAATCAACAAAATGGAAAGGGAACCAACCATATGGGAAAATGTATTTGGCAATGATACTTTGGACAAGGGTTTGATTTCCAAAATATGTGAAGAACTCATGACTCCACACCAGGAAGACAAATAATCCAATTTAAAAATGAGCAAAGGACATGAACAGACCCTCCTTCAAGAACATACAAAGAGCCCACAGGCAAATGAAAGGATGCTCAGCATCACTAGCCATTAGAGAGATGCAAATTAAAACCACAATGAGATACCACTTTACACTGGTCAGAATGGCTATCATAAACAAATGAACAAACAAGTGCTGGAGAGGTTGTGGAGGAAAGGGACACTAGTATACTGTTGGTGGGAATGCAGACTCATGCAGCCACTGTGGAAAAGAGTATGGAATTTCCTCAAAAAACAAACATTGAAGTACCTTTTGATTCCACTGCTAGGATTATACCCCAAGAATCCTTAAACAGCAATTCAAAAGAACCTATGCACCCCAGTGTTCATAGCAGCGTTACATTAGGGATCCCTCCCTTACCTCCAACTTAGAAACTGAGAACCAATGGCAAAAAAACTGTGTGAGGGACCCAAGACTCCCAACAGCTAGAGAGTCTCACTGAGTCTTAGGAGCGCTGGGCTGAGTTGGGGGCGGGGCGGGGTGGCAGTGCTCGCGCCTGAGCTAGCTGGGCCCCGCCTGCCCAGGGGGCTGGCGCAGGAGTCCAGCGTTGCTTAGCTGTGTGCGTGGATCAACCTCTTGTGATAGGCCGCGAAGGGCTGCTCCTACGGTTTGATTGGCTCACCCAGCTCAGGGCGGACGTATCTGGTGGCGGGTCGTCTGGGTGACTGAGAAGAAAAAAAAAAAAAGGAAGGGGTGTTAGGCCTCGCGGGCAGACCAGGGCTGCGGGCTGCTGGGCGGTTACGTGGGGCGGTGTCCGGAGAGCTGCGGAGCCCGGTAGCTAGTGGTTCACGCCACACTCCAAGAGGTTCCTGAGCCAGGCGTCTGGCAAAGAGAAACGTCTGGGACACCCACGGGCCGGGACCATGGGCTGCTGTTTCTCCAAGAGGCGGAATTCTGAGAAAGAGTCGCAGCCCGAGGGCGAGGAGGAGCGACCGAAGCAGTACAGCTGGGACCAGCGCGAGAAGGTAACCGGAGTCTTGTAGCCAATAGTCTCAGTTCCCCCCAAGTCGCTCTGCGAGTGTGTCGCTTGTGGCCCAGGAGGGCTGAGGGGACAGACCCAACAGCTGCCCCTCTTGTTCGCCCTTCCCCTCCTGCTCTCTCCAGCTCTAGCCAACTCTCTCCCTCCTTTTCCGTCTCGCTGGCTCTCTCCCTCCCCCTCCTTCCCCTTCTCTCCTTCCCCTTCTCCCTCTTTCCTTCTCTCTCTGTCTCCCTCTGTCCCTCCCCCCTCCCGCTCGTATTTGAAGTTGGAGTGAATGACTTTTGGGTGAGCCAGGAAATAAAGCGCTAAAGAGGGCGCTAACGGGGACTGTGAAGCGCTAGAAGGGCCCTTACACCTTGTCCGGTTAGATGCCCATGTTAAATCCCTGGTGGCTTTCCCTCCGCTCCACACTCTCAGTTTTAGTCCCAGGATGGACTTGACAGAAGGAAGGAGAGCCGGCAATGCCCTGAATCTTAAAATCTGCTCATTTCTGCAGCTACGCGGAGCTGAGTTTTGTCCAGTCCTCCAGTTACACTTGGGACTGATTCTTATCTCTTTCGTGGCTTATGTTCTTTCTGGGGCTGTTTTCTCTTTTGTCTGCTTGAGCCAGTAAATCTCTTTGGTACCTAATGGTATACTCCACTGCTGAATTTTCTCACAGAAGTGGACTGTTCAACGTAGTTTTGCTTCCCCCTCTCCCAAAGGAATAATGAAAATCGAATGCGTATTGGAATGTATATTAAGGCTGTATGGTGAACATAACCAGCATATACCAGGCAGTGTTTACTATTGCTTTAAGTGAATGAAAATGCTCTATTTTTTTTTACTTTTATATATAGCCAGAAACGAGAGCTTTGAAAATGTCCACTACTCTTGCACAAAACACATAGTCATAAATTTCATAATGCTTCCTCTTTCTACATAGTTCTCCGTTTGTATTTAGTAAAATACTTTGATAGATTTATCAATTTTTTTCTTCCAAACAAAAAGAGAGATTTTTAAAGTGGGAGTTATTAAGCTAACTCCTTGGTTAATGTAATATATCTTTATCCATTAATGCTTTGTAGTAAATTTCTTGTTAATGTTTTTATTTCATAGACCTGACTCTCTGATTTTCAATCCCCAGAAGAATTATTCATGTTAACTCAGTCCTCCAATTTTGAGATTTAAGAAAGTGGATGCTTTTTGCAGACTTCTCAGTCCCATCTTTCCGCCTGTTTCTCAGATCATTCCCTACTTGTAGCAGTGTTTTATAATGTAGGAATGGAAAGTACGCCTTCTGTCATACAAGAAGACTATATCTCTGGTCTAAAATTATTCGATGGGCCCTTTTAAATTTTTTAAATTTTAGTTGTTGTTCAAGTACAGTCTTCTTTTACTCCCATCCCATCCCTTGGTGGGACCATTTTTAAAAGACTCATTTAGTCAGCCTTAGTATTTTTAATAGTGATGTTTATGCTTCGACTGTATGCCATAGAGAAAGTTGTGTATTTACTTTTATTGTAGTTTTTTGTCTTGAAATCATAGGCCAAAACTAAAGTGCTTTTGTTTTTTATTTAAAGTAATCTTGGTTGCCCTCAGAGTCATTACTTCATAATAAATTGTTTTACAATTAACTTTCATTAACGTGATATTTGGGTTAGTTGGAATCTCACATGTTAATCTTGCTCCTTTTAGATAAATGGGTATGTTCTGTGATTTTTATTTCATTTGCTCTTTGGCTAAGTAAATAAACTCACTGAAAAATAGAAGAGTGGACACCAACATCTAAGCTTTTCCCCTCAAATGAGAATAGTGTAAACCTTCAATTGTAGACTTTATTTTGAATTTACAGGAAACATTCTTTGGGACCAGTACTAGGTACTTTAGTTGTAGAGATGTATAAGAGATGTTACTGGGTATATAAAATAAGCTTATGCTTAGGGGTATGTGTATAATAAAAGTTAAAATCTTGATAAACTCAACTAATCAAAATTTTTGTAAATGAGCATTACATTCTGAAAACAGCCCTTTTGGACCATTAGAGAAAGAGAATTACCACCTTACATTTTAAGACAATGGTGACACCACATTTCTCATCAGTGCTTTTTCTTTTTGGTATTTTTTTTCTTTTGGAATTACTAGGAATTCACTCTAGGGTGCCTCATTTATGATAGCCTGCTAAATTTTATGTGATTTAGAGGGGTTTTTTTCTAGTTTCTTTCTTTACAAGGCCAATTTGGGCTAGTGTACAATTGTTCTGTATTAGTTTAATGATGCCTTTTAAGGTTAACACGGTCTTCCTTGCTCTCAGATTTTAACTGTATCTTAAAAGCAACAGAATGCAAATACAGCCCACAGAACATAAATGAGATACATTGCATGTATATTAGCAGAGTAGTTTGTATTAAAAAGCTTCTATAATGTGATTGTGGAGTATAGTATGTACAATTTTAAAGTTGTATCAGACAGTTACTATTCAGCTTGCAAGACTTTAGGTATAAAAACAAAATGCGTTGCCTGAAGTTTCCTCGTAACTTACAAAAATCATGTTTAAATTTTTCCTTAGGTTGTGTAATCAGAGTATCTTTTTTTGAGAGGCACCCTCTGGGTTTTGGGTTTTGAGTTGTGTAATTGGGTCAGTCTTCTGGGACCAGAGCTAGGAGAAACTATCTCAATTAGAAAGAATATTTGGAGACTAAACATTGTAATGGCAACTGATACCGTAATCCAAAGTGTAAGAAGTTCATTTTTCATTGCTGCTGACTTTGAAAAAGAAAAAAAACTTCCTGTACAATTATTACATTGACATGATGAAAAATATTTTTGGACTGTAAGATCTGTGTTTAAATCATTGGGAAAGAAATGCTTTTATCCTTGTTATTTGTATCTTGCCTCCCATAGCAAAGCAAATTATTCAATATGTGTATGTACTAAAATACCAAAGAAAAGTCAGAATGATAAGAATTTTCCCTGCCCTTGAAGAGCTGAGTAGCTTTTTTGAATTGAAATATTTTAAGTACAAACAGAGGGGAGATGAGTGGAATGGTACAGAAAAGTAGTTTTCCTTTTCCAGTTAGTCATACCAATGCACCTCCTAGATGATAGAAATGATGGTGAGTATGAAAATTGTGATTTTGAGTATGGACAGCACATCTTGTATCCATTAAATTGGTCTCATATTCAGTAGGAAAAATACTAAACAAAAGCCTTAGCAGAGAATCAAGTGACTGCATTTTATTCAGTGTCTGCTGTGGAACTTTGGATAAAGCAACCAATTTGTGCATTTCAGGTTCCTCAGCTATAACATGGGACTGTGCTAAAGATTTATCTACTGTTTAATAATCTAAAGGACTGTCCTGAGGAAGAGAGATTAGATAGTAATGGTCACCTCTGAGGACAGAACACGGATCAGAGTTTGGGAAGGACAGAATTGGTCTTAACATAAAGCAGATCATAATTCCCACAGTTGTTCATCAGTGCAAGTGTGGCCTTGTGAGGAACTGATCTCCATGTTAGTGGAAACATTCAGACTAGAAGTATCTGCATTAAGTAGGAAGCTAGATGCTGTTTTTAGGCCTTTAAGTACGTAAGGTACTCTGGTTATCCATTGCTGCATACCAAACCACCTCAGAACTTGATGGCTTAGAATAATGGCAAGTACTTATTTTTTTCACAGCTCTGCAATTTGTGAAGGGCTTTGCAGGGTTGGCTCTCTGCTCTATGTGGCATTAGCTGGGATAGTGTGACTAGGGGCTGGAGGATCTGCTTTCAATATGGCTTAGTCACAAAACTGGCAGGCAAGTTGATGCTGGCTTTCAGCTGGGACCCCAGCCTGGGCTGAAGACCAGGGGCCTCTTCAGGTACCCCAGGTTTCCACACAGCATGATGGTTGGGTTTCAAGACCAAGTGTCCCAAAAGAAAATAGTGGAAGCTGCATGGCTTTGTCTTATTAGTCTCTTCAGTGATGTTGCATTACTTCTGACATTTTGTTGGCTGAGGTAGTCACAAATGTCCACCCACGTCCAACGGGAGGGGACTTCTTGATGGGAGGAATGTCAAATAATTTGCCAACATATTTTAAATCCTTTACGTAAAGTTGTTTTTAAAGGAAATAAGTATTTCTTTGTTTATTCATTTAAAAATTGCTTTATTGATATATATGTGTATATATATAATCCATATTCCATACATTAAAGTTCACTCACTGAAGTGTACAATTCAATAGTTTTAATAAGTTCACAGGGTTATGTTAGCATCACAATGATCTAATTTTAGAACATTTTTATTCCCCACAAAAGAAACTTATACACACTCCCCCATTCTCCAAGCCCTGGAAACCACCCTTTTACTTTCTATCTCTTTCCGTTCCATTTTACTGCTGAGTAGTATTCCACTGTATAGATGGTACCACATTTGTTTATCCATTCACCAGTTGAAGGACATTTGGGTTGTTTCCAGTTTTGGTAATTATAAGTAAAGTTATCATAAACCTTTGCATACAGGTTTTTGAGTAAACCTGTTTTCATTTTACTGGGTGAATACCTAGAAGTGGGATTGCTGAGTCATACAGAACTTACATATTAAACTTTTATAAGAAACCGCCAAACTATTTTCCAAAGTGGCTGTGTCATTTTGCACTCCCACCAGCAATGTATGAGGGTCCCAGTTGCTCTTCATCCTCATCAGCACTTGGTATGATCAGTTTTTTAAAAAACTTTTAGCTATTCTAATAGGAGTGTAATGGTTATTTCACTGTGGTTTCAATTTGCATTTCCTAATGACCAGTGATGTTGAGAATTTTTTCCATGTACTTACTTGCCATCTGTGTATTTCCTTTGGTGAAGTCTTTATTAAAATCTTTTCAGCATTTTTACTGGGTTATTTGTTCTCTTATTGAATTTTGAGAGTTCTTTATATCATAGGTACAAGTCCCTTGTCATATATGTTTTCCAAAAATTTTTTCCCAGTTAAGACTTCTGTCTAAAAAGTGTCTTTTGAAGAACA